AAGCCGGTGCATCAAATGCAATGGGGCTGTTTTTTCAACCATGACACTTGCCTTGACGCTTGCCTTCACGCCACTGTGTTCCGCTTCTCTGAACGCTCTGAGGTTTGTATGAGGAGCTCATTGCATATGGGGAGTGAGTTGGTTAAGAGATCAGGCCCATCCAATCACGCTTGCATTGTTTATTGGTATATATGATGATGGCCTGTGAAACAACCAAAATTATGTTGACAGCCTGGCACCTTACTTGGTCAAAGAGGCAGCACATGGTTCCATTGATTGTAAACACAAAAGATGGAGATGACACAAACTGTGATGGCGAGAGAATGAGAGGTTGAGTGCTAGAAGCTTCGTTGGTATAGCTTGTTACGGCGGTTCTTGTAAAATTCAGGGAAATAAGCTTTTCTTTACAAAACAATAGAGGAGGACTAGGGGAAATAGTAGAGACACTTGAATGAAGATTTATACCTCAACCAAAGTGTTTATGAGCCCTAAAAGACATCGAAATATGAGCGCGTTAGGAGACATAAACCAATCCCTTGTGCATATTTGTGCATGATTCAGCAGTATTAATGCAATGTATAGCTATGACTATCCTAAAACAAACACACACGTACAATTTCCAACACTTGACCAAATCTGTGGCTTTCAGTATGGCATCTTTGAGAGAGACCTTCTGTAATGTAATCTACATAAGCCTACCATTTTGTACATCTAGATTTAGGGTTGTTACTGATCTTCAAAGCGACCCCCCTATCTACGGCCGTCATCACCGGTCACTGTAGATTTCAGGGACCAATGGAGGCCTTTCCTTTTTTTACAGCGACACTCACCAGAAAGCGAGCCATTAGCAAGAACATGTGCATGCACTTAGGGCGAGTGGCCTTGAGGTCGTAGTTTGGCCAAATTTCGCACTTCTAGAGTGGTTGTGCACGGTCAGATGTATTTAAGAGACGTTTTGCCACGGTAGAACGCGGTAATAGGGTCGACCTTAGACATTTTTTGCCATAAGACATGCGTCCTTACAATCACAAGCGCTGCACGGTTCTTGACTTCGAACCACTTACATCCTACCGCTTGAGAGGGAGTATGCGTCGCGTCGTTTGTGAGAGGAACAGCGTCTCGAGTCGCGACATGACGGACCCCACCAGCAGATGTGCAGCATGGGTGTTTCTCTCTTTTAGTCTTACCGTGCGCACGTCCAGTGCAGGATGTCCAGTGCAACCCTCTTTGGTCGCCTTCGTTTTCTGCAGATGGCTATCGCGCCTCTGTCTGATGCACGTAACTTGCCTTACCACCGATTGTCAACCTTCCGACGGTGCTGTACGTGTCTCTTGTGGCGGCTTCATGTCTCCCACGTCCCTCGTATTCGTCGATCTGCGAGCCGTGGTGGTCGGGATGCTGTCACGCCGGGCACGATACGAGCGTAGCGCACGAATCTTGTTCAATGGCTACTCCGATACCTGGCTACCAAGCGTCGAGGTGCGAAGAGCGGTGCACCATGATCTGTTTATAAGCGATGTTTTGGTTCGAGGTTGTAGTACTTGCTCAAAACTGTGACTACTAACAAACGCCTTCACTTACAGCCCTTTGCATCTCAGTAATGTCGCAGCCAACCATCTCCCAAGGCCGTAAGGGTGAGCAGGCGGGAGAGCAGGCGAACGCAAAAAAAGGCGGTGGGCGTCGAAAGCGAGGTGGTAAGAAAGCACAATGCGCCACCGAGGAACGGCGCAAGCTCCCAGATGGCTTCACCGCGGACATTCTAGGTGAGAATGACGACGGTACGGAAACGTCCGCCGATCCGAACGGCTATGCGGTCGATAATGTGGCGCATGGTGAACAGGCGGTGTTTGGTGTGGCGAATGATGACGGTTCATATCGCGACGAGACGTATGGCAAGAAGGTGGTTGGTGAAGCGGACAAAGGCGAAGCGGACGGAGGCGAAGCGGACGAAGGGGAGGCGGACGAAGGGGAAGCGGACGAAGGGGAATCGGACGAAGGTGAAGCGGACGAAAGCGAAGCGGACGAAGGCGACGCTGACGAAGGCGAAGCGGACGAAGAGGAAGCGGAAGAAGGCGAAGCGGACGAAGGCGAATCGGACGAAGGCGAAGCGGACGAAGGCGAGGAGGGGGAAGGCGAGGAGGGGGAAGGTGAAGGGGCGGAAGGCGGAGAGGCGGAAGGCGTAGGAGCTGTTGGCGAGGAGGCAGAAGGCGAAGGGGCGGAAGGTGGGGAGTGGGATGGCGAAGAGGGGGAAGGCGAAGAGGGGGGAGGCGAAGAGGGGGAAGGCGAGGAGGGGGAAGGCGAAGAGGGGGAAGGCGAGGAGGTGGAAGGCGAAGAGGGGGAAGGCAATGAGGGGGAAGGCGAAGAGGGGGAAGGCAAAGAGGGGGAAGGCGAAGAGGGGGAAGGCGAAGAGGGGGAAGGCGAAGAGGGGGAAGGCGAAGAGGGGGAAAGCATAGGGGCTGTAGATGGGGCCGGAGAGGAGGTGGAAGGCGAGCAGGTGGAAGGAGAGGAGGCGGATGGGGTCCAGGCAGATGGCGACAATGTGGGCGAAGGCCTGTCCGATTACTCCAATTTTAGTGCAGAGGAGAGAACTAATGGGCGGCGGACACGCGTACAAGCACTCAGCCGCGGGTCGACGCTGGATGAGGATGAAGAAGCTGCACGAGTGGTGAAGAAAGGGCGGTTTATGATTCTGGGGGCCGCACCGGATGATACGCAACAGTGCGGTAATGGGCGTGGCGGAGAAGCAAAGGATAAACAAGGAGGGCAGACCGTGAAAGGGGCATTGGCGGCGGCGAAGCCACCCACGAAGCGCAGGAGTAAGAAGGCTAGCACTAAACCCCTTCCAAAGGGTAAAGGTGAAGCAATGGAGGGGAAGACAAAGACAAAACCTAAGCCCAAAAAGCGTAAGTCATCCACTTTTTGCCCTCCAGCCCTGTAACCCTTCGTTCTGACCCGCCTTGCTTTTTCCCATCCGTCTCTGTCAATACTCCCGTTGTCCCATGAATATTCCCAACTAGCTTCCCTAAACCGTCCTGACTTGTCCCCTCATGCGCTAACCCATCCTGACCTATCCCATCTTGCTCTCACCCTACACCAATCAGCGGTGAAGAATTCTGGTGTGGGTCCGCCAACCACCATCGAGCGATTCAACCTTGGGGGGGGAGGGGGGAAGCTGCCCCAGCTACAGGTCACCCAGCGGGCAACTACTAGTGCGATGCAAGTGGGAGCAGCAGCAGCTCCTGTGGGTATGACTGTTGCGAGGGTGGGAGGAGCAGCGTCAACAGGAGGGAGGGTGGGAGCAGCAGCAGCATCAACTGGGGTGAGGGTGGGAGCAGCAGCAGCGTCAACGGGAGGGAGGGTGGGAGCAGCAGCAGCATCAACTGGGGTGAGGGTGGGAGGAGCAGCAGCGGCATCTACTGGAGGGAGGGTGGGAGCAGCAGCGGCATCGACTGGAGGGAGGGTGGGAGGAGCAGCGGCATCGACTGGAGGGAGGGTTGGAGGAGCAGCAGCATCGACTGGAGGGAGGGTGGGAGGAGCAGCGGCATCGACTGGAGGGAGGGTGGGAGGAGCAGCGGCATCGACTGGAGGGAGGGTAGGAGCAGCAGCGGCATCGACTGGAGGGAGGGTGGGAGGAGCAGCGGCATCGACTGAAGGGAGGGTGGGAGCAGCAGCAGCATCGACTGGAGGGAGGGTGGGAGCAACAGCAGTGTCAACGGGAGGGAGGGTGGGAGCAGCAGCAGCATCAACTGGGGTGAGGGTGGGAGGAGCAGCAGCGGCATCGACTGGAGGGAGGGTGGGAGCAGCAGCGGCATCGACTGGAGGGAGGGTGGGAGGAGCAGCGGCATCGACTGGAGGGAGGGTGGGAGGAGCAGCGGCATCGACTGGAGGGAGGGTGGGAGGAGCAGCGGCATCGACTGGAGGGAGGGTGGGAGGAGCAGCGGCATCGACTGGAGGGAGGGTGGGAGCAGCAGCGGCATCGACTGGAGGGAGGGTGGGAGCAGCAGCAGCATCTACTGGAGTTTTCAGGCCCAGGGGTACCAGTACTGTAAGGACGCTGCCTCCAGGGCCCACGGCTTTGGCTGCCGTATCAACCAGGGTGGCGCAGACGCAGTGGGTATCACGAGCGGAGTTTGCGGCGCTTAGGAAGGAGATACTCCAACAGTTTGAGAGCCTCAGGGCTCAAGGAGTCGCGGTTCCTGCTCAAGGACTTGCGTCGCAGGGCAGCGACGCAACAACAGGCGTTCCTCGCCCTCCAAGTCGGAGTGCCGGACAAATCGCTCTGGAAATGGTGATCGACGATGCTGGAGACTGGAAGGTGCGTATAAACCCTTGTTGCCCTTTCCTCTCATGCTCTATTCCCTCATGCAGTCTTCCCACCAGCTCTGTTCCCCGTAGATTTGCCACTCCTGCTCTGTCCCTTCCTGTGCGCTCCTCTCCTGCTCTGTCCCCTCCAGTGCTCTCCCTTCCTGCCTTGTCTCGCTGCTCCTCTGCACTCACCATGCCATGCCCTGTAATGGTCTCCACCACGTACATTTTGTGTTGCCCCACCCTTCCATCTACTCATACATTCTTTTCCTGGCAGGCGAAGTGCCGGAGTGTCATCACCGAGTTCTTCTGGCTGAATGACGCTCGTCACATCCAGATGTATCCTTCGAGTGAAGAGGCGATGGCTGGGTTATCTACTTATCTGTCCCCTGATACCATGCCCCACTTGCAACTGCGGTGGAAACAACAATGCCCAACAACAAAGGGGGCATTCTATACAGCATGCAGCAATACCCGGTGCGCAATTGGCAAAATACTCCGTCGATTGGTTCTAACTGCATTGGGGCGGGAGAAAAACAAGGGGAAGGTGATGTCCCTCCCGGTGGAGTTGGATCGTCCGGCGGTGTATCGGAACGATGCCGAACTGGTCCGGGACAACATGACTGGTGAGCTCCTAACCCTTGCTCTCTCCCCCCCTCCTCTGTCACATGCTCTCTCCCCCCCTCCTCTGTCATATGCTCTCTCCCCCCCTCCTCTGTCACATGCTCTCTCCCCCCCTCCTCTGTCACATGCTCTCTCCCCCCCTCCTCTGTCACATGCTCTCTTCCCCCCTCCTCCGTCACGTGCTCTCTCTCCCCCTTCTCTGTCACATGCTCTCTCCCCCCCTCCTCTGTCACATGCTCTCTCCCCTCCTCTGTGACATGCTCTCTCCCTTCCTTCTGTCACGTGCTCTGTCCCCTCCTCTGTCACATGCTCTGTCCCCTCCTCTGTCACATGCTCTGTCCCCTCCTCTGTCACATGCTCTGTCCCCTCCTCTGTCACATGCTCTGTCCCCTCCTCTGTCACATTCTGTCCCCTCCTCTGTCACATTCTGTCCCCTCCTCTGTCACATTCTGTCCCCTCCTCTGTCACATTCTGTCCCCTCCTCTGTCACATTCTGTCCCCTCCTCTGTCACATTCTGTCCCCTCCTCTGTCACATGCTCTGTCCCCTCCTCTGTCACATGCTCTGTCCCCTCCTCTGTCACATGATCTGTCCCCTCCTCTGTCACATGCTCTGTCCCCTCCTGCTCTGACCACTCCCGTGCTCTCCCCTCCTGCTCTGTCCCATCCCGTGCTTTTACCTCCTGATCTGTCCTTCCCTTGCTCTCCCCTCCTGCTCTGTCCCCTCCTTTGTCACATGCTCTGTCCCCTCCTCTGTCACATGCTCTGTCCCCTCCTCTGTCACATGCTCTGCCCCCTCCTCTGTCACATTCTGTCCCCTCCTCTGTCACATTCTGTCCCCTCCTCTGTCACATTCTATCCCCTCCTCTGTCACATTCTGTCCCCTCCTCTGTCCCATGCTCTGTCCCCTCCTCTGTCACATGCTCTGTCCCCTCCTCTGTCACATGCTCTGTCCCCTCCTGCTCTGACCTCTCCCGTGCTCTCCCCTCCTGCTCTGTCCCATCCCGTGCTTTTACCTCCTGATCTGTCCTTCCCTTGCTCTCCCCTCCTGCTCTGTCCCCTCCCTTGCTCTCCCCTCATGCTCTGTCTCCTCCCATGCTCTCCCCTCCTGCGCTGTCCCTTCCCGTGCTCTCACCTCCTCTATCACATGCTCTGTCCCCTTCTCTGTCCCCTCGTCTGTCACATGCTCTGGCAGATGAGTGGGGGCTGAAATGGCATGTTGACCAGATCACGCAGCGCCCATTCTCCACGAAATTGTTTGCGATCGCCATGAGCAAGGCGTTTCGAAGGCGCCGCGTCGATGTCACAGCGTGGAAGACACGCATGGTGGCATTCGCCTTGTTTTCAGTAAGTGTTTTTTCATTATATCCAACGGTTAGGTTTCAATATCAACATGTTAATGCTGTTGCGCCTTGCTCATGTGTTCAGCTCGAGAACCCACTGTTGGAGGCAGCAGGGGATGGCAAGCTGGGCACGGACCAGCGTGAAAACCGCAGGTTGTACGAGCTAACGTGCATCAGGGTTCGACGTTGGGTGGAGCACTCTGTGAATGTGCTGGGCGTCACGCATGATGTGACAACAAACGCGTGGGTGTTCGAAAACGGGGTCCGTATTGATGCGTCGGATTACCCTGCACTATTGCCTGTTTGAATTTCTGGTTAGTAAGAATGGTAATAAATGCACCGATCCTTAAAGCAGTAATATGGGCAATAATAGTTTCTGTGTTCTGATATTAATAATTATATGGGCAGAACAATTATGACAGAAACAGCAACAGTAATAACAGCTGAACTATTATATGCAAAACAATAAAAAACAATTGTAAACCGAATTGAGAAATCAGCACAAGAAAAATATTTATATCGAACATAGATTTAATAGAAACTACTATACAAAAAACGAATGGTGTACATTATTACATTTATTGGCCCCGAGGCGCGATTCCGACGCGGAATGTGGCGTTACCATCACACCCATTTCGGCCAGTTACCAGCTGGAGCGCAGGCTGAACCGAACCCCTGAACCCATCCTATGATAGGCCTGCAATCCACGAGAAAACCAGTCACGTTAGTGCCATGTGTTCAGGCGGAAATCGACCCTGGTTTTCAGTCAGATTTCCGCCGCGAGTCTTGAACTCTGGCTGGAAACCAGCTGAAATCCAGACCGGAAGATTGTGATGGAGGCAGCAGTAGCTAGTGGGGAGCAACAACTAGCAGAGGTGGGGTGGGGGGAGTGATAGGAGTAGAGAATGTGAGGTGAGACAGAGGTGGGGCGGGAAATTGCAGGAGTAGAGAGGTGAGTTGGATAGGTGCGGTGCTGAACCCCCGGCACAGGCAGGCAGCAGCCGCAGAGGTGGGGTGGGGAGCAACAACCCGCAGAGGTGGGGTGGGGGGAGTGACGAAGTGGGGAGAGAGGTTGGGGAATGAGGGGCAGAGGTGGGGTGGAGGAATGAAGGGCGGAGGTGGGGTGGGGGGGATGGCTTATCAGTACAGGCGCAATGAGGGAAAGTGGTGTGATGAGGTAGGGTGCGGTGGCAATGGGTAGGAGTAGATGTGGGGTGGTGTGCAACAACCTGAAACGGTGCTGAGGTTACTAGAACTGAGATCCGTTCCTTCTTTACTCAGCTCCTCCCCCCTTGTCTTGTCTTGCTTCAGATCGAGAGTGAGACTGTGCTGATGATACAGCAGTCGTGTGCTGAAGTCTCACCTCCCCCTGCTGTTTCCCCCTTCCCCCTCCCCCATTGACCACCCCTCTCAGGACGAGAGTGAGACGGTGCTGATGATACGGGAGCTGCTAAAGACTGATTCGTAGCTCCACTCCTCTGGTTGCGCTTCTTTCTCAATTGAACTCACTCCTCCCCCCTACGCACACGCACCTTTTCTGCATCAGGACAAGAGTGAGACGGTGCTGATGATAAGGGAGGTGGTGGAAACACGCATGCGATGCGAAACCGACTGATGGGAGACAGATGGGAGACTGATGGGAGATGATTCCAGTAACTCCTCCTCCTCCCCTTTTCTCCTTTCTTCTCGCCCCCCAAACACTCACTGGCGTCAGGATGAGAGCGAGACTGTGCTGATGATAAGGGAGCTGTTGGAGACGCGCATTCGACTGGCAGTGCAGGAGGACGGAGGGGACATTGACTTAATTGACTTTGACGAGAGAGTTTGACTTTCTTGACTTTGACGAGTGAGCTCTTCATGTCAATCTCTTGCCACGTCACCCTCTTGCCACATCACCCTCTTGCAGTGCCTGCCTATACATATACTCCAAGCTTTACCACCTGTAAACCTCAAATCAAAACCATGTCTCCCACTCACTAACCACCAGGGCCACATTGATAGTGTATCCATGCATCCAGGGTTCCTGCAGTGCCTACGCAAGCATATTTTTTATGCCTTAGCCAAGCATGATCCCACGTCCATGTCACGTTGCTTACCATCCACCCACCAGGCCCATGGAGATCGTGTATCTGCGCATCCAGGGTACTTGCAGTGCCTGCTCAGGCCTTTTTCTTATGCCTCACCAAGCATATTCCCACGTCCATGTCACCTTGCTCACCATTCTCGCCACGGGGATCGTGTATGTGCGCATGAAAGGTGCTTGCAGTGGCTGCCCAAGCCATGGCGCCCTTCTCAATCCAACCCTGATTGTTGTGCCCTCCCTCCCCTCACTGCCACCCACCCCTTAGGGCCACGGGAATTGTGTATCTGCGCATGAAGGGTGCTTGCAGTGGCTGCCCATTGCGATGCTTCTTTAGCCTTTTCCCAATCCTATGTCACCCTCTTCCCCACCCACCAAAGGCACGGGAATCGTGTACCTGTCTAATGCATGGGGAAGGGGAAGGGGGGGGCTCTAGAAGGCCCGTTGCTTGTGATGTGGTGAGCTTGTGGCAGTGCTTCCGTGTGTGTGTGTGTGTGTCTGTGTGCCTGTGTTCTTTTTGAAAACACCTCCGCGAGGGAGGTGTGGTGGGTAGGAAATGGAAGGCAAGAGATGGGCATGGGCTGCAATGATAGAAGCGGGTAGGAAAGAAAATTGACGTTTCTGCTTTGCTTGTGCTTTCTTCACATCTCAGGGTTGGTGGTCTGTCATAGTTCAATTTGTGGTTCAATTTCAAAATTTTCAGACTTCTTTACCAACCAGGTTACTATAGAGACGAGGCAACAAAATGTCCCATACCCCTTCGTAGCTTAGCACAGGCTTTATTGGCCAGCTCCCAATTTTTTCCTAATATTTTCAAACCAGCCGGTTGTCCATTGTCACTTTATTTGGGGGAAGTTCAGCAATTGTTGGTTGGGTATGGGTTCTTTTGAGATGGCTGAGCGTGCTCCTGCACCACGTATCAAGCGAACCTCATATCAGGCTCACCCGAAATCCTTGGCTAGTTTTACCAGGCAAGTCTGATACGAGGTTGCCTGATATGAGGTTCAGAATGACGACCGGGCTTCTTCTTTTCCTCTAGCCTATGCTCATTAATTCTAAGTTTGTTGAAAGACGTCCAATAACAAGTACAAGCACCGGCTACAGTCACTCTGCCTCTTCAATAACCTCCTTCACCGAATTAACCTGCATCCGGAAACACAGGCAAAAACGGGCAGACCAGGGCAGACACAGACAAACACAGGCAGAGACAGGCAGAGACAAGGGCAGACACGGGAAGACAAAGGCAACATGGGCAGACAAGGGCAGACACGGACAGACAAGGGCAACTCGGGTAGACAAGGGCAACACGGACAGACAAGGGCAACATGGGCAGACAAGGGCAACACGGGCAGACAAGGTCAACACGGGCAGTTGGCTCATTCAGTTGGCATTCGCCGCATCTCCCTGTGAAGAAGGACCAAGCCGCCCTACCGCCCTCCTCTGCTCCTCCATTGCACGTCTGCTGGCCACTTTTCGAATCAAATGCCGGGCACAGCACTACTGGCAGCGGTGGGCTTAAGGGCTGCGCCCGAGGTGCCCAAGACCTACTGTGAGGAGCACGGCATCTGCCAGACGTTTACGCTCCCGGCCTCTCCGCAGCAGAATGGGGTTGCTGAGCGCTGCATTGGCTTAGTGATGGAGGTCGCTCGTACCTCCATGATCCATGCGGCTGCCCCCCATTTTCTGTGGCTGTTTGCGGTCTGTTACGCCGCGCATCAACTCAACCTTTTGGAAAAGAAATCCTCGGCAAAAACAGACTCGACTAGGAAAAAATCAGAACTCGTTAAAGTTATCTTTCAAAGATGCTTTAATGAAGATTGATGATTTTCGCGGGTCCGGAGCCACAAACAAATTCCGGGAAGAACTCCAGAGGAAGCAGACAATTAAAGAAGTGGAATCGGTGCCTACAGAGCTGGGGAAAAAATTAAGGAGTGTGGAAAGGAGCAGGCCTTTTTCACGACGTCAACGTCCTCTCCCGGAACCAGCCCAAGACGACTCTCCACTCCATAAGGAAGAAGTCTATGGAGCTGAAGCAGCTGAGGAGGCAGCTGGGAGTTGAAATAAAGCTGCGGAAACTCTGAAAATCCCTCCAGGATGCATCCAGTGGATCGCGAGCATCGACCGGATCCACCCCCTCAGGTTCAACCAGTACGGTTACTACCTCTACTCCTGGCATTGGAGAGGAGCCCTTCTCCACGCAGTCCAGGCCGGCTGTTAGTCCAGGGGCAAACAGTGGAACCACGGTGTGTACTGAATATTGGGATGTACCCTTTGATCCTATTAATGAGACTATTTTTGGGTACTCTAAGCAACGCTCGCCAATCCTGCTCGAGGTGATCTGCAACGGACTGTGCCTCCAAGCACTCGCGGATAGCGGGGCATCGCACAACGTCTATGACAAAAAGGCAATCGATCGACTCAGAGGTGAAATCAAGTCCTCAAGCTTCTCTGCAACGATGGTGGATGGCAGTAAGCTACCCATCTATGGGGAAACACGGTTACTACAACAGATTGGACCCCTGTGATGGAAGCTTGCTCTCCTCGTCACAAATATTAAAGGACTCGACGTAATCTTGGGGAGAGACTTTTAAAAAAATTCAACCCCGAGATCAACTGGGTTAACCGGACGGCCAACATCATCAACAACAGGAGGAAAATCAGCCTTCCCAAATGGGACGACACGGGAAATATTATAGTCGAGACACTCGCACGCTTTGAAAAGGACGTCAAACGGACCACAGCGGGATTTATGGCGATAGTCAACGAAGCAGACAGCGGAGAGAAGCAGATCCATGAACTCCCTCCAGCAGTCAAGAAAATTCTTGAAGAGTTCCAGGACGATCTCCCCGACGATTTACCTGATCAACCACCGCCATACCAAACACACCAACACGAGATCGTAGAAGAGCCGGGGTTTAAGTCGATGTTCCGAGCACCATACCGCCTGAGCCCAACAGAGCTTGCCGATATGAAAAAACAAATAGAGTATCTCCTGGAGAAAGGGCTGATTCGACCTTCGACTTCGCCGTACGGAGCTCCAGTTCTCTTCACTCCGAAGCCGGACGGAAGTCTGCGAATGTGCATCAACTACCGAGCCTTGAACAAGCAGACTTTAAAAAATAAATACCCGATACCATGGATCGACGACTTACTCGATCAACTTCGCGGTGCTACGGTATTCTCCAAGCTCGACCTCAGATCGGGATTCTGGCAAATTCGTATGGCGGACAACTCTATCCACAAAACTGCCTTCCGAACTCGATATGGGTCGTACGAGTATCTCGTGATGCCGTTCGGACTCACTAACGCACCAGCCACATTTCAGGCGGAAATGAACCACATCCTTCGGCCCCTTATGGACGAGTGCGTGGTGGTATATTTGGACGACATCCTAATCTACTCGAAAGACATGAAGCAGTACGTTGAGCATCTGCGACGCGTGTTTGAAATTCTTCGACGAGAACGCTTCTACGCGAAACTATCCAAGAGCGAGTTTGCGTTGAAGAAAGTCCAGTTCCTTGGACATATGGTGAGTGCTCAAGGAGTTCAATGTCGAACTTATATGCTATAGTCTTTCTAGGCTGTAGTGGGGTAGACAGTATGGGGTACAACTTTCTAGGGTTTCATATTTGTACCCAACTCATTTCCTAGTTCATCATTCATTCCTCATCTATTCACATGGTATAGAGCAGGTTCCCTAGTGGGAACTTTTACTTGGGCCCACCACTAAACTTTTTTTTCTGCCCTGAGATCGAATCGCCCCTGACCGAGGCGTGCCCTGTGGAGCGCCCTCCCCTTAGCGGCCCGTCGCGCCGCCCTTAGCGGCCCCACTCACGGCCCCCCACTCACGGCCCCGTCGCCACCCTTAGCGGCCCCGTCGCCACCCGTTGCGGCCCGGCCACCCTCTAGCGGCCCCGTCGCCGCCTCCGCGGCCCACCCGCCACCCTTCGCGGCCGCGTCGCCGCCCTTTCGCGGCCCCGTTGCCGCCCTCCAAGCGGCCTCGTCGCCGTCCTCTCGCGGCCCCGCCGCCGCTCTTCAGCGGCCCCGTCGCCTTTTTATAGCGGCCCCATCGCCGCCCTCTAGCGGCCCCACCGCCGCCCCTCAGCGGCCCCGTCACCGCCCTTCCGCGGCCCCGTCGCCGCCCTCTAGCCGCCCAGCCGCCGCCCTTCAGCGGCCCCATCGCCGCCCTACCGCGGCCCCGTCGCCGCCCTCTAGCGGCCCCGCCGCAACCCTTCAGCGGCCCCGTCGCCGCCCTACCGCGTCCCCGTCACCGCCCTCCAGCGGCCCCGCCACCGCCCTCCAGCGGCCTTGTCGCCGCCCT